AAAATTTATTGTATACTAAATAGTATCATTAAAATAACAGTAACCCAAACATGCTAAATAAAAAATACAAAGTGGAAAAATAAAAAATAAAAAACAAAAAAGATACAGTACAAAAAGAAAAATATCAAAGCGGTATAAAGGTCTGTGGAATAAACTCTAATGTCTTAGATAATATGAGAGTAATGAGCAAAAGCACACGTCTGCGCTGCTTGGGAAAGACGTTAGCTGAAAATAGCCGTATAGAGTGTAAGAGAGTGATCTACATACAAAAAATATATACTAGACAAATGGCTCAAAGAACTGTCTGCGATTATCAGAATAGAGATCACAGGTAATAACATATGATTGTTGGATATAACAAAGAATAGTATGCATAATACCTAATGATGGTAGCGCAGTCCTGCATATATAACAGTGCAAGCGTATGAATGCTGTATACTATTGAGAGTTATCGTATAGAGTAGTTGATAAGTGACCTAGCCAAATACTATAGAGAACACTAAAGTGGTAATAGTAGCGACTCTTAATCTGTGCCACTAATAATGAGTGATCTAGTAGCGTGCTGCAATTCTAATAGAAGGCACTGGAAAAGAGTTTAACAGATAAAGGCTGTACTTGACTAGTATATTAAGCCAATGGCTCAAAAACTATAATGCCTAACGATTGTAGCACGGTCCTACATATATAACAATAGAGCCTGCAAGCATATGAATGCTGTATACTATTAGAAGTTTCCGTCTATAGTAATTGCCATGTAAGTAATGTGTAATGGTAGCCAAGCCTAATACTGTAGAGAACACTGAAATGATAATAATAGCGGCTCTTAATCTGTGCCCCTGCTAATGAGTAATCTAATGGTGTGCTGTAATTCTAATAGAAAGCCCTGAAAAAGAGTTTGACATATAAGGGCAGTATTAGACTAATAGCCACAAATATGAAAACAATAGTGCAGAGAGTAAAATGCTGATGGTAATAAACACCACGCTAGCAGCTCGCCTCTGTACCTACAAGGGTACTAAAGTAATGACTGGCGAATGCTGTGTAAATAGATGGGAGCGAAAGTATGGAAAGTATTGTGAATACTCAAGATAGCACAATACACTATCACTGCCAATACACCCCCTTCAAGGGCACCTAAGTCTAACCCTGCTAGGTTATAAACTATATGAGAAAAAGACAAATAGAGTTGCTGTCATCATCTAATCTAATAAAAAGACGGCATGTGTAAAGCCCCTGACGCGCGCGTTTTGCCCACCTAGCTCGTCAGAGGGGTATATCAACATATCAACTACTCTTTACGATAACTCTCAATAGTATACAGCATTCATACACTTGCTTATATATGCAGGACTGCGCTACCATCATTAGGTATTATGCATACTATTCTTTGTTATATCTAACAATCATATGTTATTACCTGTGATCTCTATTCTGATAATCGCAGACAGTTCTTTGAGCCATTTGTCTAGTATATATTTTTTGTATGTAGATCACTCTCTTACACTCTATACGGCTATTTTCAGCTAACGTCTTTCCCAAGCAGCGCAGACGTGTGCTGTTGCTCATTACTCTCATATTATCTAAGACATTAGAGTTTATTCCGCAGACCTTTATACCGCTTTGATATTTTTCTTTTTGATATATTCATCGAATCTTATATCAACCTAATGATACATCTATTCTAAGTAAATTAGTACTGTATCTTTTTTTTTTTATTATTTTTTTTTTTTCACTTTGTATTTTTTATTTAGCACATTTGGGTTACTGTTATTTTAATGATACTATTTAGTATACAATAAATTATTGTTTTTTGACCTTTGGTCTTTTTACTTGTGCCTCTTATTTTCATATACCTTCTGGCTATCATATAGTATATGTTTTCTCCCAGTTTCAGGTACACTATTCCCAAACTTATCGCACATTTCCACTAGGGGTTACCCCCTGTACTTAGCAGACCTTTTTTTGGCTGTATTCAATTTGTTTTCTTTCCTCATAGAAATTCATTGATTCAATTCATCTCTATGAGGAGATGCTGATTGGCGGCCAGGGCTGTGTTTGAATTGTGCTGGCTCTGCCCCTGATCTGCCTCCTTGTCAGTCTCAGCCAATCCTATGGGGAAGCATTGTGATTGGATCAGGCTACCACTTCTGCTGATGTAAGCAGGCAGTGGGCAGGTCTAAAGGAAACAGGGACAAAGCATGTAGCTGCTGACTTGAATACAAGTAAGATTTTACTATTTTTATGGAGGCATGAGGGGACCAGGGTGGCTAGATGGTGGTTTTAACCCTATAACATTTATTCCTGACCCTATATTGCTCTTTTAATTGAAATTTAAAACACATTGGGCATTTTTACTATCAGGACTAATTTGTGAATCTAATTTGAGTTAGTTTACTTTACTTGCATTTGGTGTTTAGAAAATAATTGGGGTAAAACTGAGAAAAGTTTGTTTTCCCTCCATTTTTTCCTATTTAGTTTTATGCTATGTATGCATATAGTGCATTAGAAATCCCTATTCCTCCTTTATAAATTATATATAATATGTATGGGTACACTTAATCAGAAAGGAGAAATTGTGGTTGTATGAATGCATGGCAAAAGTGCCAAAAAGACCTTGGACACAATATTATTCACTTCACCTGTCTGTGGTTTTAATATTGTGGCTGATCAGTCTATATAGACTAGCTTGGGCACTCCATTGCCCAAACTAGAAAAAAAAAATGCTGTTTTGTAGTTATTCCCCCAATAAATATATGCATAGATATTCATTAGGGTATAATTTAAAATCTGATGAACTGCAGCCTTAGCAAGCCCTTCCATTTTTTCCTGGAAGAGATGTTCAGTCTCTTCACAGGAAAATAACCAATTCTTAATTAGTGCCCTGAGAAGCTGGTCTGAGGTCTGTGTGGGCGGAGGTGCTCTGCATCTCCTCATCAGTTCGTAAGATTTTTGTCCAATTTAATGGTACTCATGAATAAGCATTGTTGAGATAGGGTGCATGAAAGACAATCTTTGTACTCCACTAATCAGATGCTTCTCAGAGAGAAGAGTTGAATTCAATGCTGTGAGAAACACTGGATGCATTTGACATTGACATCAACATGCTGTTTGTGATGATGCCAACCATAGTTACCTTCAAAGAATTGAAGAAGCATTGTTTAGTTTAGGAACAATGCAAACATTGTTTACAGTGTTCTATATTCTTAAACAAAAGAGGTGCTATCTATGCAAAACCGCTCCAGGTTTAGGTGCACGTGTGTCCCCCCTCTTGTTTGGCAATGCAGGTATAATGAGTTTTATGTCAGCCAAAAGTGAAGGGCTCTGGAACCTTTGGTGTGCCACAAACTTGTTGAAGTTCAACTTCCATTTCCTACAAACAAAGGATGTAGGCTTGAGTGTGATGGGCATTCTATTTAAAAAAAAAAAAAAGCAGTGTGTAACTATACGCTACCCCGGCCAGAGATTGATGTCAAATGATTCAAGACTTCAAATAAAATGCATTCATCTTCCATAACATTATTTATTTGTCATTGTTCCCTGGCTGACATTTTATTAGCAAATTCGTCAGTAAGGAATGTCTCAGAATTGTGATATTTTGGTGATCTCTGTGAAATGTTTATGATTTGAGGTGCGTTTGACTCCTATTGCTGCCATTAATAATATTTAATTGTCATTTCCTTTGATTTAAGGGATTCTTTCACCTCTGCCACCTATTCAGAACTGTTAGAAATGTTTCTTTTGTAAGTGTTTTATGCCACAATTGCGATGTTTTCTTTTCTTTTGGAAGTATATCTAAGTCTCAGATCTGTTATTTTATACCTCTCCTTAGTATTGTTCTGCTTGTTTAACGCTTCAGGGTTGTACAGGGAACGTTCTGTGCTGAAGGTTGTAGCTTAGATAATTATATTTGGGAACCAGGCTTTTGCTGAATGAGACTTCATTAGAAGCGCAGAGTTTTGGGCTGAGGGTAAGGGCCATTGAGAATTAAAACAGCATTCATTTTTTTGTGAACATTCTATTTTTAGGGAGAAGAAAACCAAGTAATTTTAGAATTTTGACTTCTAAAGTGGAGATGACAAAATAGACACACATAGAAAAGCAGTCCAAACTATTGTATAGTGGTGGCACAATGATTAGAAAATATATAAATAGAATATATTTATATGTTTTAACCTACAGAACTAGTTTTAACAAAATCAGATAAATGTGCATTTGTTAACTGAAAGGGAATCACTTTTGAGACAGTTGTTTCATTAAAAGGTTTTAGCTTTGCATTAAATAGTTGAATGTGTCTTGTAATAGTGGAGTGTAAGTAAAATGATAATCAAAGTGCAATTTACTATAAAACCGTATATAATTTACACATTAAAAATATTAATAAAGCGCTTTTTGTATACTACGTGCTAAATTTCTGGGTTTAACAATTAAGGTGCTCAACAATACAGCACATGCAACAAAAAAACAAAAAACGTCAGTGTATAAGTTTAAATTCTCAATGTAAAAATGTATTTCACAAAAACGTAGTGTTGGGGGGCGGAGCCTAGCTGCCAAGCAGAGTGGACGTGCTAAAACCCAGCTCCTGCATTATCTGCCTGATTTTGGGGAAAATACTCAGTAAAACTGGCACAGAACTACTCTAAGGGGCATAACTGAATTGGGATCCTCGGGGTGCAACTCTGGACACCCAAATGGACTAACTAACCACCCGAGACCCCAAGCTGCGGTGACCGAGGCCTACAGGATGGCTGGCAGAGGGGAGACGGCCGCTCTCCTTTCCACCTACCTGCTCCACGACCACTTCAACCCTCAATCATCCTGCCCCCCCCCCCGGTACCGGTGAGGGATATCCCGGTCCTCGCCGCGGGCCCATACCTATACACAGCATGTGGGCACCAGGGCCAGCGACACGTGGCCCATCGAAAATGGCGGCGGAGTACTCGCAGCAACAGCGGACTCAGCTTGAAGCAGCTGAGCAGAGCTCCAACTGCGGCACAGACCTCATGCAGCGTCTGGATGCACTTTTCAACAACTTCTGGGAGAAGCTCCAGCAGCGCGCACAGCGCACCATGACAAAGCGACAGGATCCCATGGACCCAAGAGAGAGGAGCTATGGGCGGCCGGGCAAGAGGGGGACTCCCACGGGCGTAGCATCAGACCAAAAGCTGACACTCACCCACCCCAGCCCACTCGGGCTGCAGGCCAAGAGGGCCCTGACCCGAAGGCGTCGGCCACATAGGCAGAAACACAAGCGGCAATCAACCTACAGACCTCCCGCCACCCCATGAGGGGGAGACACTCGGGCAACGTATGCCACCGAGTCTCAGGCCAGAAGACGCAGGCCTACACACCAACTTGGGGCAAGAGGGACACCCCCACCACCGGCCGAGCATCAGCACCTCCTCTGGACCAGCCAGAGAGCCTCAGCCGCATTCCCACAGAAGGAATAGGATAAATGGTGACTCACCACAAACTCTCTTATGACCCGCATACGCTACCCCACGGGTCCAGATGCAAGTGCCGGTGTCGATGACTGCTGCATACCAGTTTGATTTCATGTGCTGACAAATGCTTTTTGCCAACCATTGTATACCTTACTTACGCTTGTTAATATTAGCCTTCCATTAGTTAAGCATAGAGCGCTAGATGTTTAATCTTATCACCGAAGAATCACACAGTTAATGATATTGCATCAGCATGAATAGACCTTGAGATTTGTGATCTTATGTCAGTTACACTCATAGTAAACCACGAAAGACAGAATGTCACTCTGTTATGTAACGATAACTTCCAAGCAACTTAATGTATAACTGTGCCCATGCCTTGATAAAACTGGGCATCCACTGCTAAACGGTGATTTTTGTATTGCACTGAGTGCTCAAGGCCTAGCATGTAAGCCACGTGAAGCCTAGGAGTACTGCTTTATCTGTATAGCTACTGATATATATATGCATGACCTGTACTGTCCACAGCCTAGGTCTTTCGGCGAGCAACATAGAAGTACTCCTAGTTATGTCACATCCTCATACAAAATGATTCTGAACTAGCTATTTTAACTTCTTACAGCTTAAAGTATGATTAACTAAGCATGTTTATATTAAAAATTGTGCTTGATAGACATATGTCCCGCATGTAAAGCGGAGGAATAGCCTGAGGACTGCTTTTGGGGCACCTCATGCCTGCCTGTATCATTTTCATGCACTGCAAAAATAAATAAAAAAATAAAAAAAAAACAAAAAAAAAAACGTAGTGTTAAATTGATATAATTGTGCCGGTTCGTGTTGGTATAAAAATTTGTACCTCACACAGAAATGCTTTATAATATTCTTAGGTTTCCATAGGGTATTGTGAAGCCTCCGAAAAAAAAATAACATGAAGAAAAAGTATAGTGCACAAAATCTGAAGTAAATAGAATGTATTTTACAACACTTATAGAAATGCCAATTCACAAGAATGGAGCCTAAATTTTGGCTCCTTTTCTACAGTCTTTGAATCTTCACGAGGGGCCCCTTCTCTTTCATGGACCTCATTTTCCTTATTTAGTGGCAGTGTATGTAAATAAGAGGGAAACGGACATATGTGTCAAGGTTACTAATTGATCAAGCACCTAGGACTAAAAGGTAACATCTTACCGGGCCTTAGAATGGCTGGACTTAACGTACCAAAGAATAGTCAGAATACCTGCCGAGATCGGGGACACAGAATAAGACACAACGATGAGGGAAAGCCAAAAGTCAGGGATACCAAAATACAGGGAAGTCAAACAAAGCCAAAGTCAATAACCAGAAATAAACGCTCAGAAACACACTCTCGGTCAACCACTAAGGGAAACCACGACAGGGCAATGAGGAGAAGTAAAAATGCATTTAAATAAGCCTTATACAAATCTGATTGGCCGAAATCGGCTTTTGACCCCAGAACATGCGCGAGCGTCTTGTCATACCGCCGCCGACGTCCTCATCACAGTGGGTGGATGTGGGTCTATAATTTGGCGTGGATCCGCAGTGGCCGGCGTCCATCAACATGTTGCAGTAGTCAGGTACACTGACGCATGGCCACTGAGCGCAGATACCGCATGGTGAGGATGAATATGTTACAATATGGTGTAGTATATCTATGTAAGCAGATATTAAAAGATAATAATTTTAGCATGCTCACATGATACAGGAAAAGGTTCTGTTGTTTGTGAAAGATCCTCTATTAGAGCGATGCTACCCGCGGTGAAAGATGTCCTCAATGAGACAGTAGTTTGCATATATTATTTAAGGAAAAACAAAAATAAAAATGATTAAGCTCTACAGCAATAAATAGAATTGAGATGTAGCAGGGTCTGTCTTCAATATATTTCACCACAATTAGCTTCTTCAGTCAGTATCGGTACACTTTAATCCTGCTGTTGAAATACCCTTGAATATCAACCTATCATTGTTTCCATTCCATGCCGCCTAATGACACCTTCTGGGCCTTGTTCTGGTGCACCACTTCCAGTCACAGAATGCGCATAGTTCTCTGCTAGAAGCTTGTATTGGAGTTGGTGAGGTACTTTGGTGATGTCAAGTTGAGGCATGTAAGGCAGCACCTGTAAGTAAAAAAAAAACCTTCTGTGAAATGCTATTTCCCCTGTGTTTATTTGCTTGCTATTTATTCAGTGGTTTAAATTTGTTGCATTTTTTTTATTAGGTTTTCCTAAACCTTTGGTAGTAATGGACTATAAAAAACAAGACATTTATAAAGCAAGAATAATGTAAAAATGGAATACAATTTTCTTCTAGGTCAATTTTACTCTAGGTCAAGCTAATTCATAGTTGGTGCAGACAACCAGTTATTCAATTTGCTGTGTACTACATTTCCCTTGATGCTCTGCCAGGCAGCTTTATTTGGATCTATTTGAATTGTCTCATAGCGAGCATTGCAAACTTAAAAGGACATTTCAGGCACCTTAACCACTATTGTTTATTGTAGTGGTTATGGTACAAGGAGTCTCTGAGTGCCCTCCCTCTTATTATTTTTTTGGGCAGTTTTACAAAAATCATGGCTCTACATGCACCCAAAGTCCCTCTACTGTCACTCGGGCAAACCTTGGAAGTTTCACTTCCATATATGTGTTAAAAGCGGCCCAATCTTGAATGGCAATGGTGCCACACAGCAAATGCTTATGGTGCCAGTCAGCATCATGGGAATGCACATGGTGTGGTAGAACAGAGGCAGAGAGGAACAATGGAGGAAGGTAAAAAAAATAGGGGAGCAGGGGGTGCAGTTAAATGGACTCAGGGTGCCATAAACACTTCAGTTTAGTGAAGTGGTTATGCTTCGTTTTCCTAATATTTTAATACATATTTGGAGTGGTAATATTAGCTGATATGGTTATGGTGCTTAGAATGCCTCTTAAAAGATTTTTTTAAATAAGTTTTTTTGTTTTTTTTAATTTCTAATTTTGTTGTGCATTGATACACTCACTAATGGCAATATAATTATATGCATACATGTGATCGAAAAAACAGTTCACATTATTACAATATAAAGCAGCTGCACTTTTTAAGTATCTACACTTAAGTGACAAATAGATGAGAGCAATAGTTTTGGTACACAACAGAGTCACACTATAGGAGCTCAGGTTGCAATTTTGTGTCATGCAGGAACACAACACTTCTGAGCAATACAAGGTTGCAACAAGCATTTAACCTTTAACCATGCCAGGAGCTTTGCACAGAGCGTAGGGTGGAGGTGTGGCTAGAGCAGTGGTTGCCTTCAGACCAGAAGAGGCATCAGGGAAATGGGGCAGTGGTAACTCTTTATAAAAACTTGTTAACATTATGTTTATGTGTGTAAGAGAACTGTGCTATAAAATACAATGTACTTCTCTTTCTGGCACTCATTGGGTTAGTTTATGCATATTTATTTGCAACTCTAAATAGCAGGAAATAGCAAATAATTGAGACACATGGAAAAGGGGTGCAATGTAAGCCATACTGGTCACAGAAAATTTCCCTAGATTTCTCCTAATAGCGGCAAAAAATGCTGGCGTTCTAAGCGCCTCTGCACATTGCTTCTCACAGTCTTTCTATTTTGGGAATGTATGGTTTCCGGTTATAATTCATGGAGAGTTTGAGTCAGTGTTATATAAACCACACTTAATTTATTTTTGTGGTGTTTTATTTTTTTATTTTTACCATTACTGTGCCTTTCAAACAATTTTTATAAGTGTCAAGTAATTTTTCAAAGACTTATTACATATCCCTTCTGAATTTCATAAAAGTGTAGATGCTGCTGGATTATACAACTGATTTACTGCTATTCTGTTTAGCATATTTTTAAGTCTTTTTAGCATATCTTTAAGTCTATCTACTAGGAGATATCAAGACAACAGAATATAGTTCCTTTTTTTCTGGGACATGTTAAGTGGGAGTCATTTACAAACACCTACCAAAAATATAGGTTAAGTCTGGCAGCTGAAACTGCTGCCACATTTAATTTATATTGGCAGACATAAATGGACACTTAAAGTACTACAGCTTAGTGTATTAGCTATAGTGTAAGAACTCGTGGGAGCAGCTCTTCCAGTCTCCCCAGGATCTAAAGATCACCCCGTCAGTCGGGAACATGATATTAAGAGGTTTCTGCTTCCTCATTACACATCCTAAATATTTAATCTACCAAATGAAGAGGTAGAACGGCTTGTGATTACCTCCTTTTTCTTGTTCCACCCACATCAAATTCAAGTTAGCTGCCTCCTTCATAGATGGTTAAATGAGTATTATTATTTACAACCTTATGAGTAATTTATCAAAGTCAGTGCAATAACGATGGAGACCTGGGGAGTGATACAGTGCTTTGGAGGTGTCTAGCTATGTTCTGCTAAGCTTAAAGGAAAACTAAAGGGTCAGGAACACAAACATGTATTCCTGACCCTATAGTGTTAAAACCACCATCTAGCCCACCTAGGCCCCTCATGCCTCCCTAAAAATAGTAAAATCTTACTTGTATTCAAGTCTGCAGCTGTAGCTCTGCATGCTGTTTGCCTCAAAATAACAAGATGTCTGCTGACATCACCAGAAGTGTGGCCTGATCCAACCGCAGTGCTTCCCCATAGCATTTGCTGAGACTGACAAGGAGGCAGATCAGGGGCAGAGCCAGCACAGTTCAAACACAGCCCTGGCCAGCATCTCCTCATAGAGATGAATTAAATCAATGAATCTCTATGAGGAAAGTTCAGTGTCTGCATGCAGAGGGAGGAGACACTCAATGTTTGGATGCTATTTAGGCAGCAATTACCCAGGAAGGATCTCTA